GTGTCACGCAGACTGGTAAGATAACCGTTTGATAGGGGGCACCGCGATGATTCACGGGGCCCCTCCTTGCTGTGGGAGCCGCTCTTTGAGTACTCCCTCTTTCGTCCGTGTGAAGGATGGTCGTCTACCTCCCGTGAAGTTAATACATCACCAAAACAGTCTCACCCGATAAATAAGTGGCGTAGGCCGCAAACATACTATACTGTACTAAACACACCCGTGCAGTGTTTTGGATTGGCCCATGTACACATGTAGCCGGCGGGGCATATATTTGTTCATCATGAGATACACGGCCGCGTGCCCCCATCTCCTCACCATAGAGAAGAGAGGAGAAGGACGTTATAGGTTATTGTGACGTTTATTCTCTCGATGTCGAGCTGTTCCGTGTGAAAATTTTAATCATTTTTGCGCGCGGTAAATAAAAGCAAGTATCGCTACCGCCGGCAGCCCCTCGGGGGTCGGTGGTAGTTTAAGCTTGTCACCAGCGCCACCCACAGCGTCTCGTTTTTGACGAGCCGTCAAACGTGTACGCCTATAACAAACGTGGTGTGGCGGGGTGTGTAAATTCTGTTCGGCGATACCACCCTTAAAATAATGTGACGTTAGGGAGTGGCTGGATACTCCCTTGTATAGTATAGTACCTTGAGAAGCCCAAGGACGACCAACTTACAAGGCGGACCCCGACCTTTTTAAGGACGATCCTAGCCCTAGCAAGTCGANATAGTATGGTACCTTGAGAAGCCCAAGAAAGACCACCTTACAAGGCGGACCCCGACCTTGTTAAGGACGACACTAGCCCTAGCAGGTCGGAACCCTGTCGCACAGACCATAAGCCAACCGTGTAGGGCCTCGACCCAGGATAAGGCCGGGACAGTCTTGCCTGTACAGGAAGCCAAACCTCCGGAGCTTGTTCGTACATGTCCTTTACTTGGAAGGGGAAGACGTTTTATCTCTTGTTTTAGACTAGACACGCAAGGGGAGTAGGGAGAAGTGAAGCCCTATTTGGAGTTCGAGGGGTCCCCGCACATGCAACCATTTCAAGGTGTACATATGCCCCATCTGCGTGCCCTCTGTTGTTGCCGGTAGATCTTACCAGTCCGTATCCAAACACACGAACACCCTCCCCGGTTTGCACGCAAATGGCAAACCTAACGTGGGGCATGGATACCCCTGATCTACCAAAGGGACTCAAAACAACAACAGGCTCGAGGGAAAACCCGGCCAACCGGATCAAAAACCCTCGTCTAACACCCTATATTAGAAAACCGTCGCTATCACGGAGGATTCCAACGGCCGCACTTCCAAGATAAGACCAAGGCAGGACAGATTGAACCGGTCACGCTGATTACACACCCGAAGCAACGCTCTCGGCGTTTCTAGGCTCCAGCTGCGGGAGACGCGCCGGCACAACGCTTCCTGCGTGACGTACCATCGTCACATATGCCAAGTGCTAAAACCACCACATTAACCAAACAGAACAAGAGAACACTACATCGGTAGGTTCATCAGAGCCTTCCGGTGGTACTCTAACTTCTCTCTGCCAAGGACCTTGGTCAGCATGTCGGCGTGCTGCTCTCCAGTCGGAACATACTCTGCAGTGATCTTGCCCGACTTGAATAGCTCGCGAATGAAATGGAACCGCACGTCGATGTGCTTGCTCCTCGCTGAGCTGAACGGGTTCTCGATTAAGGCGAGAGCCCCCTTGTTGTCCTCAAGGACCTTGATCTTCGCCCTACTCGTCTCGGGCGCTATGAACGACAGAACGTCACGCACAAACAACGCCTCCTTCACGCCCTCCCCGGCTGCCATATATTCTGCTTCCGAGGTCGACTGAGCCGTCACTGGCTGAGTCTTGGTGGGTGCATACACCACGGTACCACCACGGTCATAGCCAGCCCGGTCGTAGAACGCCTGTCTACTTCGTTGTCAGCGTAGCTGGCATCGACAAACACGCTTAGGTCTAGTCCTGACCCCCGTACGTAGGTGATGCCGAAGTCCTTCGTGAAGTTCAGGTAGGACATGATCCGCACAAGCGCGTTCCATATCCTCTCAGTGGGTGAGTGGGCGATCTTCTGGAGCTTGTTCAGAGGCAGGGTGATGTCTGGCCTCGTCAGCTTCGTCCACATCAGGCACCCGATCGCCTCCCTCAGAGGCTTATCCACCGCGGGCTCGTCATCTCTCTTCGNCCTCGTCTGCCGCCACTAAGATGTCATCAACGTAGATCACGATGAGACCTACGACCTCTCCATCCACCACCTTCCGGAAGACACACGGGTCAACCCTGCACTGCTCGTATCTATTCTCGATGAGGGCATCGGCAGCTTCAAACCCCCACTCACGGCCACTCTGCTTCAGGCCATACAGGGCACGCTCAACCTTGACCACCTTGCCGGACATGCTACCACAGCCTTCCGGGAACCTGAGGTATATTTCTTCTTTAAGCTTAGCGTGGATGTACGCTTGCTTCACATCCCAGTGAGCGAGTTTCTTGCCCTTTTCAGTGGCTACGGCAAGTAACGTCTTGATAGACGCTGCAGACGGGCACGCTGAGGATGAGTGGTGGAAGTCGATGCCGG